GGGGGGCTTCATCTGCCCTATATGTACCTGAAGGCCCTTCAATACATATATAAAAACCAGTTATACTTTTTATTCCCTTAGTTTTGTCTGGCCCGTGTTGTTAGGTAGCCCCAAAAAGACATCAGGAAAGTCCCCCCAGGAAGGGAAAGCCTTATGAGGGGAGTTGCCTTAGAATCACAAAGTGATCTGGGCTGGAAGGGATCTCAGAGACCACCCAGTCCCACCCCCTGCCATGGCTGGGTCACACCAGGAAAGTGTAACCTTCAACTCCCTATGCATTTGTTACCAGCTGAGCTGAAATCCCTGGAGCTTTTGGCATTTAGTACAGCAGATCATCACAGTGTTATCTTTTTCCTCTTGGAATCAGGGACAATCCAGAGGCCACACAGCAAATGAATGACTTAATCATTGGAAAGGTTTCTGCTGCTCTGAAGGGACACTGGGCAAATCCAGACTTGGTGAGACTCCAATGTTTTCCTGTTTATTTGTTCTGTCCCTCTATGCTGGTGCATTCTGTTCATTGCATCTTCTCTCTTATGGTCTGTTTGTGAGAAAAAAAACTGAGTCTTGATAGGAAATTGCATAAATGTCAGAGTGCAGCACAACATTTTGTGTGCAGGCACATGCTGAAGTTTCCTTAGGCAGTTCCCTGTCTTGGCTTTGCTTGTACCTCTCCAGCAGGTTACCAGTCACCCCAAGTGTGTGTGGGATAAATTAACTTCAATGCATGTGTTTTGAACCTGAGTGTGTTAAAGAGGAGAAGGCAGAAGGGAGTGGGGCAGCCCCCAGAGCTGGAGCACTGTGTGTTGCAGGCGAGCAGCCTCCAGTACGAGATGCTGCTGCTGACAGACTCCATCTCCAAGGAGGACAGCTGCTGGGAGCTGCGCCTGCGCTGCGGTGAGTCCTGACCCCAGCCAGAGCTGTGCCCAGGGCCGCCACTACAGGGGATTTCCAGCTCTGCACCCGCTGAATGCTGTCCAGAGCTGTGTCCTGTCTGCAGCTCTCACAGGATAATGAACACCCCTGTCTGCTTTCAGCTCTCAGCCTCTTCCTCATGGCAGTGAACATCAAGACTCCCGTGGTTGTTGAAAACATCACCCTCATGTGCCTGCGCATCCTTCAGAAGCTCATCAAGCCACCTGCTCCAACCAGCAAGAAAAACAAGGTACTGCCTTAGAGGCTGAGCAAAACATTGAGAATTTGCTGATGGAAGTCTGGCACACTGATCTCAGTGAGGAATTAGTTTGTGAGGAAGCCAGACTTGCTTTTCCTGGTCACTGTTCCTAGGGAACCACAACCCTGTGACTCTGGTCTTTACACACTGCAGATTACAGATTTCCACTTTCTGTTTTTCACTGGGTTTTGGTGACTTTGACCACAACTGTTCAGGGTTTGCTCTTTTCCCCTCAGATCTGAGGCATGGGGAAAGAGCAACTTCAAAGCCACAGCTTGATTATTTTGGGCAGGCTTTTGGTGCTTTCAGCAGCTCTGTAGAATCAAGTACCTAAATCTGATAGAATCAAGTACTTCTGAGTGAGATTTTAAAATACAGAGCTACAGTTCTCATTGGAATACATTGATTAACTGCTATTGATTTTATTTTAGGATTAGATTTGCAGGAGGGAACATATGTTTTCTTTGATCTGCCTGTCTGATAATCACAGATGGATATCAGAGATGAGTTTACTGACATTTCAGTAGGAGCTGGAATATCTCTCTCTTAGTACACCATTCACTGTATTACCCTGCTGCTGTCCAAGAGCTGCATTTGCCTCTACATGGCCCTGCCCCAGTGATTCACCTCAGGAGCTGCTCTTTGGGAGCAGACTGTGGCTTTCTGAAGAATCACAGAGCTTTTTAATTTCTTAGGATGTGCCCATGGATGCTCTCACCACTGTGAAGCCGTACAGCAATGAAATCCATGCACAGGCTCAGCTGTGGCTCAAGAGGGACCCCAAAGCATCATATGAAGCTTGGAAGAAGTGCCTCCCTGCCAGAGGTAACCCCTGTGCCTGTGACCTGCTGCACTTCTGTGCAGGAACTTGTGTGTCCCTAGATTTAATAAGGATGTGCTTCTGTGGAGTTGTGTTGGCTTCTGTCCCATGACATCTAATACCATCCTCACATTTAATCCCTAGAGCTCTAGCACTGACTTTTCCAGGCTGTGTGCCTCAAACCCTAAGCAGAAAATGCTCTGTGCCCGAAGAGAATCAGGGACTGTAAAAAACAAAACTTGTTTATTTCAATTGATACCAGCCAGCTGGAAAGCTGATGGAATTCCTTGAGAGAGGCTCTGGAATTTGCATGAGGCTTGGAATTGAGCATAGCTCCACACAGGAGTGAAAATGGCAGAAGGAGATGGGAAGCTTTCAGCTTCCCACTGGAGTTTGACAAGTTCCAGTAAGAAGACAAAAATACTCTGGTGGTTTGCAGTTCATGACTGCTGACTTCTCTTGGGTTCTGCTCAATATTGCAGGTGCAGATGCCAATGGGAAAACTCCCAGCAAAGCTGAGCTTCACCAGCTCTACTTGTCAGAAAAATACATCTGGAAGTGGAAGCAGTTCATGAGTCGCCGTGGGAAGAGAACCTGTCCTCTGGATCTCAAGCTGGGACACAACAATTGGCTGCGCCAGGTAAGGGTGGGAGGGCCCCAAGGCAGGGTTCAGTCACACACTGTGGCTGGTGTGCTGCAGGTCCTGTGCAGGGATGTCTGGGGAGGCTGGGACTCACTGCCTCTCTCATAAGTCAGGTTTGCAGCTGTGTTCCCTCAGAAATGCTGCATCAAATGTTTGTCTGGGAGGTCTGTGGGTTCTTAAACTCTGAACCTTTGATTGCCATGGTGCTCCTGCCTTGCCTCATGAGCTGCACTTCTGAGGCTCCTGGACCAAAGCTTTGCTTTGTGTGTGGACTAGCAGGTCACCCACACCATGCACTCATTAAAACACTTGGGTGCTGAGCACAGCAGGAATTGTCACAGAACCAGATGTTGGGAGAAGAGTAAAACGCTGCCACTGGGTCACCCAACAGCCCCAGTGTTGTCCCTTCTTGTGAGCTGGCACAGGTTCATCTCTGCCCATCAGTCTGACCTGGCTTTTCCTGCCCCTGGCCCAGGTGCTGTTCACTCCTGCCACCCAGGCTGCCAGGCAGGCTGCCTGCACCATCGTGGAGGCCCTGGCCACCATCCCCAGCAGGAAGCAGCAGGTCCTTGATCTCCTCACCAGGTATTCCTGTGCTGCCACACCTGGCAGCTCCGCGGGTATTTGTCTTCAATTCCCATCAGAATCTCTCCCTTCTTGCAGCTGTTCTCACACCTCTCCCTTGTATACCTGCACTTCAGGGATCTTTTGGAGCTGGATTTTTTAACTTAATTAGCTGGGAGGGCATAGAGTTAGAGAGACTTGGGGTTTGCTGGCTGGCAATGAGCTCTTGCAGTCTGTGCTTTTTCCAGAAGTAAGGATCAGCTGCGTGGCCAACATTTCCCCTGCCTGTTCAATGGCAGAACTCTCTTCCAGCTGCTGTGACATATAACTTACCCCAGCTCATGCTGATTGCACAGCCAACTCCTTTTTGGGACAAATACTGACTTAGCCAGCAAGTAATGAATATTAGTGATGCTGTTGGTAAGGACAACAGGGAGGATGGATTTCTGGAGGCTTTTTCTTCCTTTCCACAGTGTCCTTAAGCAGGAATGCCTTTTGTTGCTGTTGTCAGCTTGTGTTTCTCTTTCACAGCTACCTGGATGAGCTGAGCATTGCTGGTGAATGTGCTGCTGAGTACCTGGCCCTGTATCAGAAACTCATCAAACCTGCCCACTGGAAGGTCTACCTGGCAGCCAGAGGGGTTCTGCCCTACATTGGCAGCCTCATCACTAAGGTATTTGTGTGCAGGAAATGACCTGTTAGCTTGGCTTTTTTTTTTTTCCCCCTTGAAATTCCGTCCCTTTGTTCAGTGCCCTGTTGGTGACCCTGCCAGGGTTAAGTTCACACTTCAGTGCTGTTACCTCTGAACAGAGGGAGCCACGGGGGTTTTAGCTCCAGTGCTGAATTCCTCAGCACTTCAATTAACTGCTCTGGGATTGTAAATATTGCTGCACTGCCTTGGCACCAGCTTGGAGCTGGAAGCTGTTGTGCAGCTCCCAGGCTGGACTCTCAGAGCCCTTAAGGGACAGGGAAGGATCAAGTGTGCTGTCATCGCTGGAGAAATGGGAGTTACAGCCTTTGGAGAAGCAGCACACTGGGTTTGCAGTGTTCAGAGTGGTGTGAGTTTTCTGTGGGGATCCTTGCTGCACTCCAAAGAGGCAGGTGACACTCTCCACATCACTGGTGGCTCTGAGTCCTCCTGGAGGGCCACTAGAGCCAAGCAGTGGTAGCAGGAAGGTGCAGGGAGAAAATGAGGGGGATATTTGTGGCAGTTTTCCTCTCCTTTCCCCCTTCCCCCCCTGCAGTTGCAGTTGTGCTTTCTCTGTGCCTGGCTCAGTGACTTTGCACCCTGAGTTAGACACTCCAGTCGTTACTGGCAGTGCAGGGTCTTGGCCTAACAGGCTGTTAATTATTTGCAGGAAATAGCTCGTTTGCTCGCCCTGGAGGAGGCAACACTCAGCACGGATTTGCAGCAGGGATATGCCCTGAAGAGTCTCACAGGTATTCAGTGGGCCTGCAGCAGGGTTAGAGCTGGGCTGACCATTGTTCTCTAACAGCCTGTGGCAGGATTTCAGAGAGATCTCATTCAGTTGTGTTGCCATTATCAGCGCTGGATTTTTGCCATCGATTTAGCACTTAATCTCTAAATGGATTTTTCCATATTTTTTGTGGTCAGTAAGAGTTTTTAGCTGAACTGTGGTAATACACCAGGCAAGCTTCATTTCACTTTATTACATAGTACAGTCCCTGGCACCACTGTAAACACTGCTTTATTCTTGCCTGTTGTTCCCACCTCCCTATTCTGTGGGAGCTTTTTTTCATCTTCTAGGGTGTATACCCTTTTACAAAATTTTGTTGGAAATGGAAATACCTCATTAACTAGGTCATTGTTTTTTGTATCCTCTTTCACATTCTTCAGCCATTAGTGGGTGAATCCGTCAAGCCTGGCTTCTTGCAAGAAGCAGCATGTTGATCAGTGTGTCATGGGAAAGAATCCTTGTGTTTGCTGATTCTTTGCTTTATTGTAGGAGTGCCCAGTTTGGTGATGTCACTGATAAGTCATTTCACATCATCAGAGGTATTAGAGGTATTAAAGAGGAGCAATCATCTGCTTTTGGAATAGCTTGCAACAGAAAAACACCAAAGAGTGCAGAATTTTGTATCAAGCAAGCAGGAAACTCCTTAGGTCCTTTCCTCATTCCCAAACTATTTTTCATATGTTACAATTTACGAACCAGGCCAAGGCTTTTACCTCCAACCACTCAGCTCACAGAAGTGAGCTTTAAACCACAGACCAATAGGAACTGGAAGCCATTTTTATGATACTGTGCTATGAAATTTAGAAATCAAATTTTCTCCCACCTCCTGAATTTCTGTGGCTTTCCAGGTCTTCTCTCTTCCTTCGTGGAGGTGGAGTCCATCAAAAGGCACTTCAAGAGCCGGCTGGTGGGCACGGTGCTCAATGGCTACCTGTGCCTGAGGAAGCTGGTGGTGCAGAGGACAAAGCTGATTGATGAGACCCAGGACATGCTGCTGGAAATGCTGGAGGACATGACAACAGGTAAAACCACCTCTGTTCCATAAATCCAGTCTTGGGGTCGACCAAGATGGGAAAGCAGAACAGCCACACAAAGAACATTCCTAAGTGACTGCTGTCAGCAGGGGGAATTGTGGCTTCCAGTATTTTCTTTGACACAGAACAGTTGAATAGTGTTCCTAGTCACCTCTTATTTTCCAGGAATCTCAGCCTCCTCATTTTTATGGGGCTGTTTTACTGCAGCCCAGCCATGCAGAAGCTTTCCTAGTAACCCTACCAATAAATACCTTCCATCTTCCACAGAGTGGATTCGCAAAAGGAGAGAACACCAAAGAGTAGGGCTGAGTGCAGAAGGATTTACTGCATGTGCTGAGTTAAAGTGGGATCTATAAAAATGACTCCAGTGTCCATTTTAAAGCTTCCTTGTCTTGGCAGGCACAGAGTCAGAGACCAAGGCGTTCATGGCCGTGTGCATAGAGACTGCCAAGCGTTACAGCCTCGATGACTACAGGACCCCAGTGTTCATCTTCGAGAGGCTCTGCAGCATCATCTACCCTGTGAGTGGGGCAGGCTCACACTGCCTCAGCAGAGCCCTGCAGAGCTTTGGGAAGGGACTTAAACATTGTCTAGTCCCACCCTGGACAGTGACACCTTCCATGATCCCTGGCTGCTCTGAGCCCTGGCCATCCCAGCCTTGCACACACCCAGGGATCCAGGGGCAGCCACAGCTTCTCTGGGCACCCTGTGTCAGGGCCTGCCCACCCTCACAAGGAAGAATTTCTTCCCAATATCTGACCTAAATTTCCCCTCTTTCAGTTTGAACCCATTCCCCCTTGTCCTGTCACTCCAGTTCATGATGAGCAGTCCCTCTCTGGCTTTCCTGTACCCCCTCCAGACAGTGGAAGGTGCTCTGAGGTCTCCACACAACCTTCTCCTCTCCAGGCTGAGCATTCCCAGCTCTCCCAGCCTCTCTCCATAGGGCAGAGTCCCCTGAGCAACTCCATGGCCTCCTCTGCACTTGCTCCAACAGTTTCATGTCCTTTTTTGTTGAGGGTCACCACAACTGTGTGGAATGCTCCTGGTGGGGTCTCATGATGGAGGAGCATCAACATCAACCACCTCTAACAAGCCAGGATCTGGTCCCTTTTTCCCAGGAACAGCAGTGTCTGCAGTCATGATTCACCATTAGCCAGTGTAGATATGTTTCCCATTTAAGGGGGTCACTGTTCAAGTTCCCTGAGCAATTTGGTTACTGGATGATCCTGGCCATCCTCCGAGTGTGGCATGCAGAGCAGATGCACCAGGGGGGAAAGGACTGAAGGTTTAGGAATATTCTCCCATAAAAATGCAGGAATGGGAGTGTGGTCAGGGAACAACTTATTCACTCTGTTTCTGCTGCTGCTCTTTAGGAGGAGAATGAAGTCACCGAGTTCTTTGTCACTCTGGAGAAGGATCCCCAGCAGGAAGATTTCCTGCAGGGCAGGATGCCAGGGAATCCCTACAGCAGTAACGAGCCTGGCATTGGGCCTCTCATGAGGGACATCAAGAACAAGATCTGCCAGGACTGTGACCTGGTGGCTCTGCTGGAGGACGACAGCGGGATGGAGGTGAGAATTTCTTGAGGTGGGGATGTCTTGTACAGACCTGTGGGATGCTGGTTTTGGGCAGCTGGTGGTTGCTGGAGTGGTGATGTAACAACCTGAGCTTGTTGTTGACTTGTTCTTCTCTCCCTTTCAGCTTTTGGTGAACAACAAGATCATCAGTCTGGATCTGCCTGTGGCTGAGGTCTACAAGAAGGTGTGGTGTCCCACAAACGAGGTGTGTGTTACCTTTGTACAAGTTAACAGCACAGAGCTCCCTTCCTTCACATCAACAAAAAAAGACAGGGAGAAGACAAAATCACACAAGTCAGGATTTATTTCCTGGCATATAATTTATTGGGTGTAACTGCTCAGCACCTTTTGGAGCTCTGTTAGGACAGATTGTGCACAGCTCTGCAACGTGAGCGATTGCAGAGCACTGCCCCAGGTGAGCTGTGTCCTGTGTCACGTGTGACTCTTCCTGAGGAACAGCCTTGTGTTCCCCTGGGGACATCTGAACGTTGTCACTGCCTTTCAGATCACATTTCACACTCCATCTGCACACAAAAGCTTCGTGTGTGTGAACACACAGGGACACCAGATTGCTCCATCAGTCTGTGCCTTGGGGATGAACCCAAGTTATTTATGGACAGAGCATCCAATGGTTCTCCATATTTGCACTTCTGCTGTCATATTTTTCATCAGGATCTCAAGCACTTGGCAGATTCATCCTTTTTTTGCTTTGCATAGTATGTGTTGTGTGTTTTTCACATGAAGAAATGGACCCAGCAGTCTTAAGAGTGTCATACTAAGCTTGTTCCAGAGGTGGATGTGGTCCAGAACAACTCTTCCCTTCTTGTAGCCACTAAAATAAACTCCCACTGAGACCATTAGGCTCAAGCTTGCCCACTACAAATATGTTTTTAGAGGCACTTGAGATCATAAAACAAGACTGATTTGTCCAGCATTTCTTGGTCATTCCTCATTTCCTCCTGGCCTCAGCTCACCTTTGAAACCTCAGTTTCCTGAAACTGTTTGTGGGAAGAGTTCAAACAAAGTGCCAGTTAGCAGTGAAATGGGTCTCCTTAAGCTTTATTTCAGTAACAAAGCCTTCAGTACTGCAAAATCAAGCCCAAACCTTGTGACAGTGATAATTTTTTAGCAAGGTACCAACTTGGAAAGGGAGGTGAGGTGCTGGTGTTAATCTGTGAGTCCTGATTTGAATTCTGGTGGAGTCACTGGTGGAAATGATCCCCGTGCTGCCCCTGGGAGCAGCAAGGAGCTGTTCCCGTGGGATGCTGGGCTGGGGCTGGCGTGCAGCTCTCTGGGGAAGCAGCTCTGCTGCTGAAAGGCAGAGTTTGCTCAGCATTCCTGTGGATGAACAGCTTTCATCTGTCTTCTTTTGTGAGCACCTCCTGGAGCCTCAGCTCCGTTCCCTGGGAGCGACAGGCGCACAAGAAACGCAACCTCAGGCCCCTTTTTGTTTCCCTTGTCTCTCAGTGGCTTTTTTTGTTCATCTGCCGTTTTACCAGGGCCCCTGTGGTGTTAATTGCTGGTCGCCAGCATGGCCTTTGAGCAGATCTTCCCCCCGGGGCTTTCCCTGTGCTTATGTATTTGCTGTGACATTAAGCACTGCTTATTCCACATTAGGCTTAGCACGATCCCTGACAGGTTTTCTCTTGCAAGGTCTCCTGCTCCCAAATCTGGGATTTTTCTTTTCTGCTTTTTATTCAGACCTATGGATTAAAAATGGAAAGTTTCATGATATGCTGTCAGTATTTCCAGCTGGAAATGCATCTGGAAAACTGTCCCTTTCTCAGGGTAAAAGCACAGCTTTTTGGCTGTATCGTTCCAGTGATCTACTGCCTCACTGAAAGCTCATTAAATTGCCTTTTACTCCTCTCTCGTTTGCCATCACTGCAGATTTTATCTCTTTGAAAGCTTTCATCCAATCAGCCTGTCCTGCTTCATTTCCTGGGCTGTGCCTGTTCCCTGTATTTCCCAGGTATGCTGTTCCATACCCTCAGAGGAGAGGTTGCCATGGAAAGCAGGTGTTCCTCTGCAGACGAACCCATTTTCCTTGGCTGCATCTTTCACTGGTGCTAAAGGAAACCTGGAGGAGCTGGAAGGAGGAAGACACTGTTTATTACCAGTCTGTCAATTAATTGGCAATGCCAAGAAAAGCTGGGCAGACCAAGGGATGAGTTACTGATGTTTTTGCAGGTGGCTCTACTGTTGTTTTTAATTCATCTCAGGAAGGGGAGCATGAGGGAGTGAAAGATTTCCCTGTGTTACCATCCTCAGGTGAAACAGCACGAGGCAGAGCTGGGGCTGGAGTGTCTGTAAACACTGAAACCAGAACCAGGCTTGTGCACAAGTGCCCAGAGACAGAGACAGAATGAATAAAAAGCTGTGCTCTTGCAGGGGGAGCCCATGAGGATCATTTACCGCATGCGGGGGTTACTGGGAGATGCAACGGAGGAATTCATCGAGTCCCTGGACTCCACCACTGGTAATGCATTTGTCTGCTGAAAGCTGGGATTAGATTGGAAATCTGAGGTTTGCTGCAGAGCAATGACATTATTATCCTCACAGCAGTGAGCTTAAAGTTGATTGACGTTGCTTTTGCTGCATTTACCTGCTTCACCTCGAGTGAAGGAGGATTTTAACAGTGCTTTAAAGCTGTGCTTCAAATGTGAGCACTTGCTTGGCACAGAGACCATTCTGCCCAGCCCTTCTTCATATTCCTGATCTTAATTCTTTTCAAATTCAGTACAACTGAAGTGACTTGAATTGCTGGTAAATGTGTGCTGCTCTGCTCTCCTTTTCTGCTCCCACTGCACGAGCATGTCCTGCTGTGGCTGCTCCTGTCCTCACCACCCATGTCTGTCCTGCAGATGAGGAGGAGGATGAGGAGGAAGTGTACAAGATGGCAGGGGTGATGGCCCCGTGTGGAGGCCTGGAGTGCATGCTCAACAGACTGACTGGCATCAAGGACTTCAAACAGGGCCGACACCTCTTAACTGTGAGTCTCCCTTTGGCTGTGGGGTCAGGAGTTAAGGGGTGGAAAATTCCACAGACATCCCTGAGGTTTAGACAATCTCCCTTGAGCTGGAGCACTTCTTTCACTCTCTCTTCCTCTTGGTTAACAATTCCTTACAGAACTTGAAATGTGTAGAGCCTGAGGAGTTGGTAAGACTGAATCCTGGAGGGATTGTTTTCTGCTTTGGCCTTACCTGAAAACCAAAGCTGTGCAAAGATTTATATAGAGATGTAAAAATGTGGGATGTACTGTAGCCCAGAAGTTTGGAGATCAGGTGTATTACTGTATTAAACTATTACTTTAGTTTCAGCAAAATCCCCTCTCATTGTGAAGGTACCACAGAGAATCCCTTCACTGTATCTTGTAGGTGCTGTTAAAACTCTTCAGTTACTGTGTGAAGGTGAAAATAAACAGGCAGCAGCTGGTCAAGCCAGAGATGAACACTTTGAATGTCATGCTGGGGACTCTCAACTTGGTAAGGACAACCTGGACTTCCAGAAGTGTTTTTTCCATGGATTGCAATGAACTGAAGCTACTTCTGACTGCCCTGCTGCCTTGTGATAGCTATGGGAGATGGGAAATGCTGCTGTGCTGGCACTGCAAATTATCTTCAGACATTGCTTATCTGTTGTGGGTGGGAGTGTGGGGGGCAGTTAAACCAGCTGGTGTTCCAGGGACTGCTCCCACCTTACACCAGTTCCTGCTGCTGTTCCCCTGAGCACTCCCATGTCTTGCAGGCTCTGGTGGCTGAGCAGGAGAGCAAGGACAGCGGGGGAGCAGCGGTGGCAGAGCAGGTGCTCAGCATCATGGAGATCATTCTGGATGAATCCAACGCGGAACCTCTGAGCGAGGACAAGGTGAGTGCCTGCAGCTCCTTCCCCTGGGATTCAGGGCTTGCACACCCCTGCTCACAGGGATGCTGAGCTGCTGGAGACAGTGCTGATGGAGTGTGACCCTGACATTTCTGGCAGGTCTTAGCAGGCCTTGGGGAAGGGCTTGAGGAGGGCCCTGAACCAAAAGCACTGCGAGGCTGCGTCAGGATGAGTCTTGCACGGTTGGGTGAGGGTTATTAGGCACTGCTTGGATCCTTTCCTTCCTGCTTTGGGCCACAGGCCAGGGAGAGACAAGAAAAGACACAGCTTGGCCTTGTTTTTTGGAGTGTTTTTGTATGTGTTGAAAACATGATTGATTTTCCAGCTAATTGAGAATAAAACTGTATCTCAGCTAGACTGAGAACATGAAGAGCTTCTCACTCATCTTTTGAAGCTGTGGGTGGACAGGAATCTGGTGTGCTTTGGGTTCGAATTATCAGACTTTTGGCTGGAAAATGCTTGAACAGTAGGTGGAATAAGCCAGGTGTCAGCTAGAGGAGTTGGTACAGCCATTCCACAAGACCTTTGGGAACGAGGCTGGGCTATATTTTTATCAGGGACTACCCCTTCACTACTGGAGTCCACTGACTCCCAGAGTGAGAATTTTCTTGCAGATTGATTCCTGAGTGTAAATCCTGCTGTTCTTCCTTCACAGGGCAACCTCCTCCTCACGGGGGACAAGGACCAGCTGGTGATGCTGCTGGACCAGATCAACAGCACCTTTGTGCGCTCCAACCTGAGCGTGCTGCAGGGGCTGCTGCGCATCATCCCCTACCTGTCCTTCGGGGAGATGGAGAAGATGCAGATCCTGGTGGAGCGCTTCAAGCCCTACTGTAACTTTGATAAGTACGTTGGCACAGTTCAGCTAAAAGCTCCTGAAATGGGTTGTACTGGCATGGCTCTGCCTTTATTTCCTCGTTGGTGCTGCTCCAGTGTAATGCCAGGCTTCAGCTTCATTTCCTCTTTCACTTCTAAGCTATTTTTGAAAGAAATGTGTAAGCTCTAGCTCGAGAAATAGGAGAGTGTATTTTGAGGTGACAGGGGCCTGAGTAGCTTTTCTGGGTCTCTGAGCTGGGGCAGGTACATCATTCAGTGATAATGTCAATGAGAGTTACAGGCAGAGTTACCACTTCTTCTCTCTGTTCAGGTATGATGAGGAGCACAGTGGAGATGATAAAGTTTTCCTGGATTGCTTCTGTAAAATAGCAGCAGGAATAAAGAACAACAGCAACGGCCATCAGCTGAAGGATCTCATCCTGCAGAAGGGGATTACACAAAATGCTCTGGATTACATGAAAAAGCACATTCCCAGTGCAAAGAAGTAAGAGTCACTATTTAACGTGTGTGGTTAATGTGTGTGACTGCCCTGGATATCCTCCTCATCCCATCACCACAGTCTCCCAGGAAATCCATGAACAAGTGCCCATTCAGGAGCATTCAGAGCTGTGATGCAGAGGTGTGGTGAGGCAGTGCACCTATAGGGATGAACTAAAAAGCCCGAAATCTTCCCATTTGATACCCATCCAAGCTGATTCCTTGGCTATCTCAATTCTTGTGTTCCCTGCCTGTTCCCCTCTGTTGCACAGCAACAGAGTTTTTGCTGTTGGTGGCCAACTCATGAACACAAATCCCCAGGCTCAGAGTTGGCACTGTGGCTGTGCACAGCATGGACGTGGGAGTGTGACTGTCCCTTCATTAATGAGCTGATGAGAAACACGGGGGAGGGAGTGTTCCCTGCAGCCTGGAGCCGTGCTGCTGGCTGGGACACTCCCCTCAGCTGCTGCCTTTTGTTTTCCATGCAGTTTGGATGCAGACATATGGAAGAGGTTCTTATCTCGACCTGCACTTCCTTTTATCCTGCGCCTGCTCCGAGGCCTTGCGACGCAGCACCCTGCAACACAGGTGAGGCCAGGGGATGTGCCTGCATTGCCACTCTGCTCTGGGCTGAGTGAATGAATGAATCCCTCTAAGAGTTGGTTCTACACTGGTTTTTGTTGGCTGTTGACAGTTTTGCTCACAGCTTTTCTCTGCCGAAGGTGGTGTTCTAGTCTGAAGGGGGATAAAGCAGAGAGAAAATCCAGTTCTCCTGAGCTTACCTGTTATAGACTGTGAAAGCCTGTTGGGAATCTCAAAGTAGGCATAGGTGTGGAAGCTGTTCAGGTATTCCCTGGGCAAGTTCTGTCCTTGCAGAGCATCCTCTTAGTTTTGTATGTCCCGTCACAAGATTGGGAACATGACTTCGTGTCTTTGTCTTGGTGCCTTGAGCCTTGCTGGGCAGCTTCAGGCATCATCTGGAAAAGTCAGAGATCCTGACTTCAGTATTTCCTTCTGCTGTGTGGTGTGAGATTGACAAACCAATGTGAAGAGAAGGTAATGATTGATAAACTCCTCAGGACATGATTGTTGGTGTTTGAAGGCATCAATAAAATGTCTTACCACAAAATAAATGTTTTATCCAACATCCCCATCTGAGCTCTTGGTAATGACCAGTGGAGAGGCAAAGTGCCCCAGTCTCACACACAGTTTTTAGGGCCCAGAAGCCTTAACAAAGGAAGGAGCACTTGTTGCAGCTCAGTGCTCTGCCCGGCTGTCCCTGTGGGTTAGAGGGGACAGTCACTGTCCCGAGTCCCCTTTTCCTGAGCAGTGCTGTGTTCCATCCCCACCAGGTGCTAATAGGAACAGACTCCATCACCAACCTGCACAAACTGGAGCAGGTGTCGAGTGATGAGGGGATTGGGACGTTGGCAGAGAACCTCCTGGAGGCACTGAGGGAGCACCCCGAGGTGAACAAGAAGATCGACGCCGCGCGGAAGGAGACGCGCGCCGAGAAGAAGAGGATGGCCATGGCCATGAGGCAGAAGGCCCTGGGCACCCTGGGCATGACGGTAATGGCTGGGTGCTCTGCTCCTTTAGGGGCTGTTCTTCCTGCCTTGCTCAAACTGCCTCAGTAGGAGGTGTATAAAATGATTTATTGATGGATATTGCAAGACCTCTAGCCCCATGTTTGCCTGGTGCTGCTGGGAGATGGGATGGGCATTCCAGTGCCAGTGGTGGGCATGGTGTGCTTTGTCATTCGTTTTAACCTGCTTGAGCTTTTCTGTCTTGCAGACAAATGAGAAGGGCCAGGTGGTGACCAAGACTGCGCTGCTTAAACAGATGGAGGAGCTGATAGAGGAACCAGGACTGACGTGCTGCATCTGCCGGGAGGGATACAAGTTCCAGGTAATGGGAGTTAAAAGTTCTGGGTAGTGGGAGCTAAAAGTTCCAGGTAGTGGGAGTTAAAAGTTCTGGGTAGTGGGAGCTAGAAGTTCCGGGTAGTGGGAGCTAAAAGTTCTGGGGTAGTGGGAGTTAAAAGTTCTGGGTAATGATGATGGAAGATTCAAGTTCCAGGTGAAGGGAGACACATTTTCAGAGCTCTCTCAGCTCCTAAGGGGACTTGCCAGTGTCTAATTGCACAAGATCAGGAAGCCTCAGATTGGTTCTTGAGATCAGTAATTCCAGAGGTGGCTGGGAAGTGAAAGTGTGTTTTCCGTGAAAGCTGGAAAAACACAGGATCAGTTTTGAGGTTGGGACTGGGAGAGGTTAAATTCAGTGTGATGTGGAAAGAGCAGGAAATGTGCTCTGCTGCAGAGCAGAGTGGTTGCTAAGCCTGCTGTGTGTCCTTGCAGCCCACCAAGGTGCTGGGGATTTACACCTTCACCAAGCGCGTGGCGCTCGAGGAGTTCGAGAACAAGCCCCGCAAGCAGCAGGGCTACAGCACCGTGTCCCACTTCAACATCGTGCACTACGACTGCCACCTGGCAGCTGTCAGGTACCTGCTGCCCACAGCTGGAGCCCTCTCCAGATGCTTTGGGATCACTGTGGAGCTCGGCATGGGTGGGCCGGGTTGTTGGTCACTTTTCAGTCATGGGCATCTCTGTCAGGATCTGCTTCAAGTCTGCTCAGGTCTGGATTCTGCAAAGTCCAGCACTGAGAGAAGCTGTGGAATTGTCATTTTTGGAATGTTTCCTTAGATAAAAGCTTGCATCCTCATGATTTGCCTGCTCTCTCTCTCCATGCAGACTCGCTCGGGGCCGTGAGGAGTGGGAGAGTGCAGCCCTGCAAAATGCCAACACCAAGTGCAATGGGCTCCTGCCAGTGTGGGGGCCCCACGTGCCAGAGTCTGCTTTTGCCACGTGCTTGGCACGGTGAGTACAGACAGGTTCTTCCCCAGGTGGTTGCATCTGAGTGAGTCAGATCCTTGCCACACACTCCTCTGAAATCTTGGGATCAGAGGTGGTGCAGCTGAATCTTGGTAAAACGGAGCTATTTCAGGTTCTACCACCTAGAGTGAAATCTCCTTAAAAAGTGCAGGTGTCTGTTTGCTCCTTGGCTTCATGTAAATAGTTTCAGAGCCTCCTTAGCCTCCAGTCACTGCTGAAGATGCAGTGTTGATTAATTTGTGGCCCGGTGAGCCCCTGCTGTACAAAAGTAACCCTCTGACACCGGTGGATTCCCTGGTGCAGATTTCCAGACCTCTCTTGGATGGTACTGAGGTACTTGAGCACCTGTCTGGAGCAGATGGAGGTGCTGCTGTCAGGATTCTGGTTCACCTTGTGCTGGGTTTGTAATATCACGTTAGAAATTTTGAACCTGGCAGGGGTAGGTGTAGGTCAGGTATTGGGCAGAAAGTCTTCCCTGTGAAGGGGTGTGCACTGGCACAAGATGGCCAGAGAGTTTATGGATGCCCCATCCCTGGAAGTGTCCAAGGCCAGGTTGGACGGGGCTGGGAGCACCCTGGCATAGTGGAAGGTGTCCCTGCCCCTGACAGGGGGTGGGACTGGATAATCCTTAATGTCCCTCCCAACCCAAACCATTCTGGGATTCTGTGGAATTAAGAGTGGGAACATCCTGGAAGCATTTCAGCCAGGGAGCTGTATCCCATGTCCTGGGCATGGGAAAACAGTATTGATGAGTGGACAGATATCTGCAGATGGAATTGGATTTACCAGAGTGAGTTGAAAGCCTCCCTTTGGGGAGGTTACTCCAAGGTAGCCGGGGCTGCCTTTGTGCAGCCTGTTCCTTCTTCCAAGCTTTTCTGTGCCATCCTTGCTGGGATCCTGTGGCAGGAGGGGCTCTGAAGGCTCCCTGCTGTTTTGCAGACACAACACCTACCTGCAGGAGTGCACGGGGCAGAGGGAGCCCACGTACCAGCTCAACGTGCACGATATCAAGCTGCTGTTCCTGCGCTTCGCCATGGAGCAATCGTTCAGCATCGACACCGGGGGCGGCGGCCGCGAGAGCAACATTCACCTCATTCCCTACATCATCCACACCGTGCTCTACGTGCTCAACACGTCAGTGCCCCCTCCCTGGCCTCCCCCAGCCCTGGCCTCTGCTTTCTGCACCGGGCAGCACAGAGGGGAAGTCACAGAAAGTTTTAGGAGGAACAGGGTTGCACATGCTGAGTGGTTGTTAAGGATTTACGTTGTTGGGAGTGAAGCCTGGACATGCTGGATAACAGGGAACCTATTGAGTAAAAGCAATTGGGAATTAGCTTCTCTTTCCATTCTGCATGTAATTATTACCTCTGGGGTGAGCAACGGGGTTATTACACTAAAGAAACCCTGCCAGCTTAATTTTCTCCTGAGCAGGCAGAAAAGACACTGTGATGAAGTAATAGTTAGTTGAAAAGTTAACCCTGATATTATTTTATTCAGTGTTTATATAACACAGTTTTGGTTCCAGATTTGCCATCCTGGAGGAGGATTCAGGTCCATTAGATTTTCCTGATATTTTTAAATTTTTGGGGGGTTACCATTATTATTTTTTACCAATAAGCAGCAGTGCTTTGACACTGCACTGAGGCTATGTGGCCACATCCGTAGGCACCCAGATGCTTTGGAATGCATGAGCTGGTTCTGATCCTGCAAAAATGGGATGCCCATGTATATCCTCTCTTTGAGGAGTTAGATATTAGTAAGTAATTCTAATTAGATGAGGGTATAAATATTAAAATACACACCAAGGTCACTCCAAATGCAGTGCAGTGAAATCCCTCTCACTTTCCCGCCTGGAACTAATCAAGGTTTTGGCTGTAATACAATTTGTCTTTTGTTTTTAATATCTATCTCCAGATCCCTGTGCTATTGTTTTCCCAGTCCTTTGGGAGACAAATAAATGGAACTATTTGTTTCATCTTGTTAGGCTGCTGTTGGCACCACAGAGCCCAGAACCCACTGGGCAGACGTGGAAAAAGGCCTTGTACTTCCCAGACAGAATTTTTAATATTAAATGGGGAAAATAAAGAGCTACTGCTTGGCTCCCAGCTGCATCTTTTAGCAGATGAAAAGGTCACACAGCCCTGACAGCTTCATCTGCTGGGATGCTGCTTGATGCCTGATAGGGAGAATTTATCACACTTAAAAATCAAGGGTCTGACATGGCTGGCAGCCTCTGCCTGGTGCAGTAGAGCCACAGATGTGGTGAAGTGTGATGCAACTTCCCAAAGTTCCTGTAACACATGGTTTTCACTGTCAGGTCTGGGGTGTCAGGACTCCTGGGGCACTGGAGCTCTTGGGGAAAGGAAGAAAATGATAAAATATTTATATAAGCTTGCAGTAAAGTAGTGTCTTTTGGGTTTGAATTTGGCCTGGATCTTCCCAGGGCTTGCTTTTGCAGTAGAGGAATTGTATCAATGGATCCAGTGGCTGTGTGGTGTCCCATGGGAGATGGCACCACTCCAGTGCCTGGCCTAGCTGGCCTGGCTCAATCTTTTTATCAAAAAAAGGGAAAAATACCTCTACAGTGGTGTTGTCTTCCACTGGGGCAATGACAGCTACCTGGCAAACCTCTAGGCCACCCACACCTCCAAGGAAAATGTGTTTGCTTCACTGGGAGCAGGTCCTCAGCCAGGGGATGAGTCTGGGGGAAGCTGGTGGTGCCCACTAGGGGTAAATCCTCACCCAGGGATGAGTTTGGGGGAAGCTGGTGGTGCCCAGCTGGTTCCCTGTGCAGGGTGCAGCACCCCAGAGCTGCTGGGGAGCAGAGGCCGAGCCCCTGGAGCTGGGGCAGCCTCTGAGGATTTCCTTGTGTTGCAGCACCCGGGCGACGTCGCGGGAGGAGAAGAACCTGCAGAGCTTCCTGGAGCAGCCCCGGGAGAAGTGGGTGGAAAGCGCCTTCGAGGTGGACGGGCCCCACTACTACACCGTGCTGGCCCTGCACATCTGTCCCCCAGAGAGGTGGAGAGCCATCCGTGGGGACATCCTGCGGCGCCTCCTTGTCACCGCCCACGCCCGCGTGGTGTCCCCGGGAGGGGCCAGCAGGTCAGTGCCCTCCCCTGGCTGGGCACACGGGCACACTGCCACTCGTGTCACTGGCACAGTCACAGGGCTTGTGTCACCACCACACAGCCACTCGTGTCACCATCACAGGGCCACTCGTGTCACTGTCACACCCACTTGTGTCACCATCGCAGAGCCACTCAGTTTATGGGCAGTGTGTGTAGTTTACACCAGGTGTTAACCCCTCTGAGTAACTTCTGCACTCAGTGTTGCAAAGAGCTGCAGAATCTTGGGTTGGGAGGGACCCTGAAACCCCCCCACTGCCACTCCCTGCCATGGCCAGGGACGTCTCCCAGAGCCCAGGGACATCTCCCAGAGCTCAGGTTGCTCCAAGCCCCATCCAGCCTGGCCCTGAGTGGCTGCAGCTGCACCCAGGGCTGCTATGAGCAGGAGCATTTCATTCTGGGTGTTCCTTGCAGTGGATCAATGAGCTGATCAATGGAAAGGATGCTTCTCCTTCTTCCTCCCCCACCTCAGCACTGCAGTAGCTCCAGCCATGAGCTGTCTCTCAGCTGTGCCTCACTCCCTGCTTGTCTCCCTAAAGAAGCTCATTCTGGGCCCTTTTGATCAGTGCTCCAGCCTCCCTCAAATAGAAAAATAGAAATAGAAGTCAAATGCCATTGCTTTTTAAAAAGAAAAAATCAATAGCAGCTGTCAGGCACTTGAAGCACAAGAATAAGTGGCTGTGCCTGCCTGACAAAGACACAATATTTTCAGAGAGGAAAAGGGAATTCCAGTTTCTGAAAAGATGATTTGAAATAGCTGTCATAATTAGGAATCAATTCATTATTATTCTAAGTCTCCTTAAAGGGCATTCTTATGCTGATGACATTAATTAGGTGTTTGATAAAGTCATTACATTGTCGTTGCACAAACCCAGCATGAACCAGTGATCTTAGAGAAGGGAGAGAGCCCTGAAAGGGGCTCCTCTTGATCTCTGTGCTGCTTTCAAGCTTTCCTGGCTCCTTTTTCTTATTTCCAGCAGGATCCTGGGGATTCTAACAGATCCAGGAGGTGTCCTGGAGGCTCAGGGGCTCTTCAGGGCTGGGTTTGCTGCTTTTTAAACCCTCCCTCGATGTTTTGTTCCTTCCCCAAGCACGGCTGTAATAAAAGCATATTGGAACAGGCAGAGCCAAGAACTTCCAGCTAAAGCATCCAATCTTTGGAATTTCAGGGGACCACACTCAGAAACAGTGCTCAGGAATTATGTCAAGGTTTATTCAAGGGCTTTCTTTAATCTCTGCAGACTAAGAGAGCACAAAGCCTCCCTCTGATAAAGCCTCTCAGAAATAGCAAAATGGCAATTCTGATTTCCAAGGTCTGTGCTTATTTATTCTTGTGGAAAATCAGGAAGAGGGCAATGGATGGTGAAATGCTCTGCAGATAAGTGCCAATATCTTGAATTTGTAGGCTGAGGCAGAGAGGAAGCCACTGGCTGTGACACCAGGGTAATGTCTGCATGCAAAGGATTAAAATTAGCATTCCACGTTCAGGGTGTTGTCTGGGAGCAGCTCCAGTCTCAGAACACCAGGGTGAAGGTTCTGGACACTCAAGGACTCACTGGTACCTGTGCATCTCAGAAAGGGACAGGAGTCAGTGCAGGAACCCCCCGTGCATCTGAAAAAGCTGAGGATCTGCTCATGATCTGGAACCTCCTGTAAATCTGGGAAGGTGCAGGGGTGCTCTGCATCCCCTCATTCCAAGGCAGCCAATCCCACATTCCCTGTCCCTGGGGAGGTGCCCTCAGCTGGGCCAGTGAGGGTCACACACACTGGGGGAGGATCCAGCCAGGAAGGGCTGGAGTGATGGCACCACAGGTACCAGGAGGGACATGCTCAGCACCTCCCTTGTTTTGGAAACTCTTCCTATTTAAACCCAAAGATGAAATTACCAGAATGGATCAGAGTTCTGGGCTTCTTCCATTTTTTGTAAATTCAATTTACAGATTCCAAAGAACTGAATGGAGTGTTCATCATTACTGAACCACAAATTCTGGCTAACAAAAATCCTGTAGATGTTTTTCAGTGTAGCTTTCATCTGGAATTTGGGAGGAAAAGACCCTTTTGATTTTTTTCCCTTTGGTCTTCACTGTGACCTTTCTTAAACTCCTGAGGGAAGCAAAGCTTCCCCAGTGTCTGTCTGGCTTTCTGTCAGTCTGTCCAGCTCCAGGAATGAAACCCAGCAGCTGCTCCACAAGGTAACTACCAGCCCTAACCCACAAGGGCCTTTTAGTTTTCAATTAAAGGAGCAGACTCCAATTAGATCAAACCCATTCACATGAAAAGAAAAGTCTGGCTTGCAGTATTTGGGAGGCCAGAATTAGCCTCGCTCTCAGCTGCTCTTCATCCCGTGGAAATTTAGTCACCTTTACTAATTGGTTTTCCTTTAAATAATTAAGCTGAGCTGCCCGAGCAGGCTGCCACCTACTAAGATGTCTCTTTTAAGGGCACACACACAAATGGAGCCTTTTAATAAGACAGCAAAATGTTTATTTTTCCCCCAGAAAACCCCAGTCTGGGGTGGCTTCAGTTGGGATCCCCTGTTGTGTTGCTGACTGGAAGCAGCAGCAGCTGCTGGGCTGGTCCTGGGTGCATAAAAGAGAACTTTTTGTTTTTCCAAAGCTCTGAAGTGTTGAGCAGGAAGCAGCACGTGATGGGGCAGATGTACCTGAGGAGCACAGGCACGAAAATTCCAAAGCCATGAGAGCTGCTGGCAGGAGGCTGTGCCTTGCCAGAACCTGTTTGTGATTAATCCTGCAGACTTTGAGAGCTGCTATCCCAGCACAGCTCTGCACCTTTTAGGGCATTCCTGCTGCTCCAAACCCAGGTGCTGGATTTCCAGGAGAAGTCCTTTCCTGGCAGGAGAATAACCAAGGAGATATTAAATGGAAATTCCTCCATTTCTTCAAGGACAAGAGATTTCCCTCAGAGTCTTGCAGAAATGCTTTTATGAGTTAGAAGCACAAAGCTGTTGTGTCACTGATACCCCCTGGGTGTGAGGCCTGGATTTGGTCATTCCTTCAGGAATCTGCTGCTCTCCAGCACTGAACACACAAACAAGGGCTGCACATTGTTTTTATCCCACTCTGCTCTTGACTTCCTGTGTAGTCTTAGCCCTCCAGTTCCCTCTGTACTCATTTCCTTCCTGTGGAAGAAGGTTTTACTGGCAAACCTGCTCTGGTCACACAGCACAGCTGGAGCACAGGGGGTTTGGAATGCCCAGCCTCAGGAATTGCTGCCCAGAGAATCTCAGGTGCCCAATGTTTCGAGGAAGAGCCAGCAAGGCTCACTCAGAGCCATCCCCTGCAGGTCCCTGATGGGCTCTGGCTGTTGCAGCGTTCATGCTGTTCATCAGGTGGGTTATCAAAGCCTCCTAATGAAGTGATTAACTGCAGATTGATTTCCTTCTGGCAGACTGGCAGACAAGGCAGTGAAGGATTACGCCACGTACCGCTCGGGGCTGCTCTTCTGGGCCCTCGTAGATCTCATTTACAACATGTTCAAGGTAAGGAGAGCACAGCTCTGCAGCTCAGCTCCAGTGCAGCTTTCTTACCTGAGCAATTACATGAGTTTGAAATAGAAATCAAAATTTGAAACCCCTTTCTCCAAGATCCTTGGAAACAAAACTTCACAGAATCCCAGGATGGTTTGGGTGGGAAGGGACCTTGAAGCTCATCTCATTCCCCCTCTCCATGGGCAGGGACACCTTCCACTGTCCCAGGCTGCTCCCAGCCCCTTCCAGCCTGGCCTTGGGCACTGCCAGGGATCCAGGGGCACCCTGTGCCAGGGCCTGCCCACCCTCACAGGGAAGGATTTGTTCCTTCTTTTTTCTTCTGTACCTTATAAAAGCAGAAAGGCCACAAGAAGCTGCCTGTGCTCATTGTACCCCTTGAAGTTCAGTAGCTGAAGAATTGAGAGACTTTTCCAGTTGGCAGCAGTCCTGTATTGTGTATTTGCTTATTTTTCCTGTTCATTGTTAATGGAAGGAAGGACATTCCAGGCTGTGCCAGGGAAGTGGTTGGGTGATGAAGGAGTCAGGGGCAGAGAGAAATCTGCAGCTTCCACAGAGGGTTCAGTACTCAGGGTGAGAAAATGCCTGGGACCTTGTTTCATTCTGTAAAAAAAGATCATGAAGTTGCAGTTGGGGAATTTCTTTTCTCTGTTGGTTGTTTGCAAGAGGCAGGGATGGAAATGGGAGAAGGCACCAGGGTTTGCAGTAAGTTTTTTTAAATTAAAGAATGATTTTTTGGCCTGATTTGGTGTGTTTGTCCCCTGTCAGAAGGTGCCTACCAGTAACACAGAGGGAGGCTGGTCCTTCTCTCTGGCTGAGTTCATCCGACACAACGACATGCCAATCCACGAGGCTGCAGACAAGGCCCTGAAAACCTTCCAGGAGGAATTCATGCCAGTGGAAACGTTTTCTGAGTTTTTGGATGTGGCTGGTGAGTGTTTGCCTGCCCTTTTATAGCTGCCTTGTGCAGCTCGTGACAGGAGACAGCAACATTCCTGTCCTGCCACTGCTGCAGCTCGTGGGGATGGGACAGGGAGAGGAGGGATCAGCGCTGCCCAGCCACGGCCTGAGCTGTCCCAAACTGCTGGGACACTCACCTGAGCAGCCCCAGGCAGGAAAACCTCCCCCCTGCTCTGCTAAACACCTGCAGCACAGCTGGAGGGGGTTTGGGGGTCTGTGGTGAGCAGATGTGACCATGCAGAGGCAGCAGTTGGTGCAGCCAGAGTTGCTCCACAAGGATTTTGGTGCCTGCAGGAGTCAGGAGATGTTGAAGACCTGCAGGGAAGCTGGAGCTGCTCTTTGTTCTCTCCCAATCTGTGCCCCAGGCCAGGCTGTCACTGCCCAGCACAGGGAGCAGAGCTGGGTCTGTGGAGCTGCCCAAGAGCAGTTCCATATGGATTTAATGTTTCATTCAATTCACATTTCAGTCCCTCCTGCACATGCATCCAACAGGGTTTGCCCTGCTCGTGTCCAGCTCTAAAATAAGCCTGCAGCTGTCAGGAGCTCACACGTGGCCCAGCACAGATCCCTCCTGGGGCAGGACAAACAGTGGGGCTGATTCTTCTCTCTTGTCTTCTTCTGTTCAAAGGACTCTTGTCAGAAATCAACGATCCTGACAGTTTCCTCAAGGATCTCTTGAACTCCATCCCCTGAGCCGCCAGCACGGAGCAGCTTCAGGCAGAGCCTCCAGCGCTTGCCCTGCACCCCTGTGTCCCTCCTCTGCAGTCTGGCCCTCCCCTGAGGAGTGCTGCGGGTTTTTGTTGGATTTTTTTTTTGTTGTTTTGGTTTGGGTTTTTTTTTGTTTTGTTTTGTTTTTGTTTTGTTTTTTATTTTCTACAATTTTTCTTCATGGAGTGATTTGGAATTTAGATTTGTTTTATCTTGTGTTTCAGCGCTTCTATCTGTAAAGCCTTGTGCATTCAAGCTGTTTGAAAGAACTTGTACAGAGAGGAATCCAAACCAGTAAATCTTAATGCTTTAGTGTGCACCTCTTTGAAGTTAAATAAACCGAACAAATGGGTAAGCTGGGCTTGACTAGTGCTTGAACCAGGCAGGAGCCTGAATGCTGAGGGGTTTCTCACATTTTCCTCCAGAGCTGCTGCTCTGTCCAGCCCTGGGCCTGCACAGGGAGCCCCAGGAGGCTCCCCAGGGCACTCCCTGCCTGCACTGGCAGCTTCTGTGTGGGGCTGGAGCCTCAGGGGCTCTGCAAGGACAACATTTCCTCCCTTCCCTTCTCTGGGTGCCAGCAGCAGCTGCTGTGCCCTCCATGGAGTGTCCAGGACCTGTCCTGGCTCCCTCCCAGGCTGGATCCAAAGCTCACTGTGCCTCCAGTGGATGGCCCCTCTCTGGGGGCTGCTCCCATCCCTGTCCCCTCTCTGGGAACCCTTCAGCTCCATCCAGGGCAGCCCCAGAGCCCTGCACAGCCCCCCCAGAGCCCTGCACAGCCCCCCTGCCCCATTGCTGCCCTGCATGCCCAGCACTGCTCCCCACCTGTGCATGCTGGTAACTCACCTGGCACAGTTCTGCTGACACCTGGTGAGGCTGGAATCTAATAAAGCTTTCCCTGGCTTCCTTGTCTCTGTTTGAACTTGAATTTCCTAGCATGGTCCCATCCCAGAAATAATTATAATTATAATTTTAGAGGCTGAATAACTCTCCAGCCCCTTTGGTGCCTGTTGTTGGTGTTGGCAATTAGCAGAGGGGTGAAGGTGCAGTGTTTTTGTTCTCACCTCTGTGGGGGCTGATGTCACTGCTGGCAGCTGAGGAGGGGAACTGGGCAGGAACTGCCCCGGGGAGCTTTGGGTTGGTGTCCCACAGGGGACTCAGGGCTGTGGGTGTGTTGGTGGCTCTGTCTGGCCCTGTGAAGTGCAGGAGGGGCTGGTGTGGAGTTGGCTCTTTGGAGCAGCAATTCTGCACCTCTGCTGCCCTGGAACCACATCAGAGAGCAGGCACAGCTCTGTGAAGGCCCTGCAGAGCCCTGCTAACAGTCCTGTCTCCAAACAGCAGCTGGGCTGCTCCGGGGTGGCTGCAGGAGTTACTCAAGGCACCCCTGGGCAGAGCCAAACCCCTCCCAGAGCTCCCGGAGCTGCCCCAGTGCTGGAGCTCAGCAGGAGCCTGGGCTCTGTGGCTGCTGAGGGTGCAGGACTGAGGCCCCAGCGTGCTCTGGCTTTGCCATTTGTGTAACAGGGAGTGGAGAAGGTTTGGGAGCTGGCAGGGACACCAGGCTGCCTTCCTGTCCCCCTCAGGGTCTTTCCTGACAAAACCAAACTTGTGCAGCTCCTGCTGCCCATGGTGCCCTTGGCAGGACCTTCTGCAGCTTTCCCAGCCAGGGTGGAAATCCTGGTTTGCTCCACTTGTGCTGGCACAGGTTTTCTGCAAAAACAGATTCAGCTCTGCTGCAGGAGCCAGTGAAGTTTCTAGCAGGAAAATCCCGGGGTTTCTCCCCCCTCAGTTGGGTCAGCAGATCCTCAGAGCTCCCAGGAGCACAACATGGTCACTGTTCAACATTAATGGCAATGAGGACGTGGCATCTTCGAGGGAGGTTTGGAGCTGTGATCTTGCAAACACCCTTGCAAGGAGCTCCCAGAGCTGTCCTGGGTGGCTTTGCAGAGGCCCAGAGATGTATTTTGGAAAATAAAGGTGGTGCAAGCAGAGCCTCCCTGCCCAGGGCACAGGAGAGCTGTGATTGAGGGACAAGCCAGAGCTGAAAAGAAGGTGGGAACAGATTGGCCTGGGAGGGACTGAAGGTGACAATAACAAGAAGAAAACAAGAACAAAAGGGGGAAGTGTTTTGGAAAGTTTCAGCTGGTCCAGGCCACACAGAGAGGCTCCAAGGTTCTCAGTGCTGCACAAAGGCAAAGAGCTGCAGGCTCCAAAATCCCCTGCACTGAGGCTGGGAAGTCAGCAAAGACTCTGGGGAGTTTGTTACTTGAAATAGGAATGAGAAGACTGAGGGAAAATGCCTCAAAATGGATGAAATTACTCAAAGTGATGAACTGAACCTTGAGCTGAACAACAGAGAGCCAATCTCCTCTCCAAAAAATATTAGTTTCTTTGTCAGAGACATTATTTGGGGAAAAAAATCCTTTGTGATGCAGGAGAGCCTGGATGAGCTGTGGGATTACTTTGAACTTGACTGTGGGCAGGAGCTCCCTGAATTTCTGACATCTCTGTGCTGGGTCAGGCTCCAGGATTTAATTAATGTGGGGATTCATTAAATTTGGGGAGAGCAGGGACCTGCTGGGTCCCCCCACCTGCTGCAGGTGACACAGAAGCCTCACCTTCCCCAGTGTTCTGTGGTGGTTTCCTTGTCCTGCTGCCTCCTCCCTCTGGAATTCCCTTTCCCAAATCTTCTGGAATGTTGGAGTCTGACAAACAGAGGCCCGAGTTCCTCAGAGAGAGATCAACAAGCTGCAGTGAGAGCTCAAAAACACAGTCCTAGATATCAGTATAGAAAACAAGTCTTAAAAAACGAGTCTTTGTGAGAGCTCCAAAACATAGTTTTGACATAATAAAAATATAATAAGAATATTGCTTACATTTTCCAGATAGAACAGGTAGGCCATATGTGCAGATTATATGTAAACTTTTGTATTAAAAAACTAGAATTCTAAAAGGTTTAGAAGAAATGCTTCAGATTCATGTTTTTAGCTCATTGGGGAATTTGTAAATAAGAATCCATGAATTGGAGTGAGAGCTCTCTAGTGCTCTCTTCTTCCATCATCATCATCATCATCATCATCATCATCATCATCATCATCATCATCATCACTACCATCACATGAAGAAAAAGAAGAAAAGAAGAAAAGACCAGGGAGCATCTGCCCCTCGAGGCTGCTCCAGGCTGCAGCTGCAGCCCCCTCGGGCCTTGCACCAGGAGCTGCTTCTGCTTCTAACGGGACTTTGCTTTTATCTGGGACTCTGCTGAAAGCTTTAGTGTGGACTCGAACACTTGGGACTCTTTGCCTTTTGAGACCGATGTGCCTTTACAATAAACAACTTTATGGCAACTCACAACTGCTCAGCTCTTTTGAAAAGAACCAAAAATCCCGACACTGGAAGTGCAGCACAGCTGAGTGCCCTCCCTGCAGGGATGGAAACCTCCCCTGCTCCTCCCCTGCTCCCCTCTGCCCCTTCCCAAATCCCACAGCTCCCACCAAACTCTCCTGTTCTGTCTCTCTCTGCAATTGCCCAGAAATGTTTCCAAACCCGCACTGGGCTGGAGCTGCTGACCATAAACACAGAGCGAGCTGCGATGTTCCAGTGCCACAAAAGATTCCCTGGACTTTTTCCAATGGAGGAAAAATGATTTTTCACCCTGGATGTATCTGTGGCACCTTTCAGGACACAGCAAGACCGTGATGGAGCCCCAAGGGATGTGCTGGGGACACGTGCAGTCCCCCAGACCTGGCTGGAATCCCACATTTTCCTCCTGGGCAGGAGCCTCCAGGCCCTGGATGCAAACTGTAAATCCTGGAGGATTCCCTGCTCACCTTGGGGACAGCCCAGGGCTCCTTCCTGGCCAGTTCTTACCCCAGGGGGCTCAGGGATCCTGCAGGCAGGAGAGTGACAGAAATGAGCACAAAACCACCGAGTCCAGGCTCCCAAATGAACTCCTGAGTGTGACCAGGCAGCCTTGGAGCTGCTCTGGGGAGAGGCTCCCAAAACATCCCCAAGATCTCCCGAGGTCTGGGTGGGATTTTTAGGAGCCACTCTTGGGTCACGTTTCTGTTTCCCGATAAGAAAATTGGGATTGGCCTTGACTGGGTTGCTGCAGGGCCACGTTCCCATTCCAGGTGGGAATGATTCACAACTCACGTGTGAGGAATCGAGGATTCAGGGAAAAACAAGCTCTGAGCTCACCAAGAGCCCTGGAAAAGGCTGTTGGGTGGATCAAGGACAAAATCGCTTCAGAGATGTTCCCCTGGCACACTGAGTTGAAAAAGCCAGGGGCAACCACCTGAACCTCCAGGAACAGTAACCCCTTGTTTCCAGGAGGGAAAAAAAATAATGAATAAATCCCTATTTACAGGGGTTTCTGCAGGATTGATCCCACCCCTTCACACTGACAGCTGGGGAGGAACCAGCTCCAGCCCTTTTATCCAAACCCTGGAGATCAGCAGGGATCTCACTCCTCTCCCAAAGGGAATGTGTCAGTAGGAGAAGCTGCTTTGGGGTAAAATTATCAATAAAATGGTACAAAGGATGTGTGGAGGGGAAGCCCCTGTGCTGTGTTTTAACCCCAGGAAGGTTGGGGGCCTTTGGGCATTGCCCCCAAATGCCCCATCCCGGGATGGGGAGTTTTTGGGGCGTGTAAGGAGGCCTGGATGTGCCTCTGGAGAGATTTTATTTTCCTGGTGCTTATTAAGCCTTTCTTGAGCAGGATCCTCCCTTTGCTCAGTGCTGTTCCTGCAGCCAGGCCTTGTTCCTGCAGGTCCCAGAATTGGAGTGGGAATTACAGCATCCCTCCTGTCCCACAGGGATTTTCTCCCCCATCCCACTGTTGCCACAGAACCCAGGAAGGATCAGACACGTTCCTGCTCCCTGATCTTGGATTCTGCAGCTCTCCTGCCCCTTCCCTTCCCCCTGGGAGCATCAGGCACCTCAGAGTGGATTTCCCGCTCCAAAAATCAGAGTTTTCTTTCTGGAAAGGAGTCCCCACCCTGGCACTCCTCAGCCTGACTCAGCCTGGTCCCTTCCCTTGGGAAACACAAACCCTCTGTGGGTGAATCACAGAGAACCCAACCAAACCTGGTGCAACCTCCAGGTCCTCAGTGATCACAAATGTCCCTGGAGCAGCAGGAGAAGAGGGAATGATCAGAGATCCCAGCTCTGCTTCTTCTGGGGCTGCTGCCATCCACCCCAGCCTTCCACTGGGGGAATATTTTGGGATTGGAGAAGCAGAATATCACTGGCCCTACAGCCCTTCTCCAGTGGGCAAGGTGTGTGATTTTAAAACGGGCAAATATTAAGCAGAAATTGGAAAAATTCAGGTGTTTGTGGTTTAAGTTCAGCTTTGACATA